TTAATTACACTGCACTCAAAAATCACATTCCACGTTTGAAAATAATGCATACTCTGAAATTGCTGGAGTGTTCTACATGAATCAATTAAGCCAAGCTTGCTGACTGCATTTTTAAAATCTTCTTGCTGATTTTCAGAATTTTATTGGTAACTTAATAAGAGATATTAGAACCTATCACTTTTTTAAAAGTACAATGTTAAGAGAATAAAAGGGCAAGCCAAGAGTGAGAGAAAATATTTTAAAATCACATATCCAACAAAAACCATGTATCTAGAACATATAAAGAGGTCTCGAAACACAAGAGTAAAAAAAGACACAATGAAATTAAACAATAGGCAAAACACCTGAATAGACAGTCCTCAAAGAAAATAGTATGTGCAACATCACTAGTCATTAGGGAAATGCCAAGTAAAACCACAATGAGGGGTGGTGAATACACAATACAGTGTACAGAGGATATGTTGTGGAATTGTGCACCTGAAACCCGTAACATTTTGTTTAACAGTGTTACCCCAATAAATTCAATAAAAATGAAAAAAAAAAGAGAAAAGCTTAAAAAGAAACAAAACCAAACACAGTACCACAAGCTAAAAAGGATGTGAAACAGTTGGAATTTGCAAATATTGCTGGTGGGGATACAAAGTGGTTCAACTACTCTAGAAAATAGTTTAGCAATTTGATATAAAGCTAAATATGCACTTACCATATGATGCAGAAATCCTACTCTGAGGTTTTTACCTTACAGAAATGAAAACTTAAATTTCATACAGAAACCTATAAATAGGTGTTTGTAGTAGGACTATAATTTAAAAAATACTGGAAACAATCCAGATGTCCTTCAAAGGGTGACTGAATAAACAAACCATGGTACATCTGTATACTGGGATACTACTCAATAATAAAAGGAATGGACTACTATTGATATACACAATAACTTGGATACATCTCAACTGTACTACTGGAAATACAAGTAGCCCATTTCAAAAGGAAACATACTACAGAATTATATTCATAAGACACTTTGGAGAAGACAAAACTAGAGTCAGAAAATAGACCAGTGTTTGCCAGGCATCAGGTATACTTAGAAGGTTGGACAACAATTGGAGCGTGATGAAACTGTTCTGCATTCTGATAGCAACAGTGGTTACATGGACCTATATGTGTGTTAAAATGCATACAACTGAGCACCAAAAAAAAAAAAATTCCATTTACTATATGTTTTAAAATAAAAACAAAGTATCTCCTGCCTCCATCTCCCAAATTCTATTTTCTTTCCTTTTTATCCCGAGGCTGTCATTCTTTCTTTTACTTTTCTACCCTCTCCCCTTACTCATATAATCTTCTAAGTGTATAAACAGTTTTTATTTTCTCAAATATTCCATAGTTTCTGGTGATTTTGTCTTCATTTATGCTGATGGCTCTATAGTGAAAACCACTCTCTCTGTTATTCTTATTCAGTCTCCTGGCTTTAGTATGTTATTTCTTCTCAGAAAGCTTCTCTACCTTTTGCTCCCAGGTTGGATTAGATATTCTTGGCATATGATCCCACAGTACTGGTATTTTGTACTATCCCCTTCATATCCTTACATGCACATATTTAATTGTTAACATATGTTCCATTTCTTTCTCCTCCACTACACTGTAAGCTCCATGAGGGCAGACCTAATTGATGTTTTGTGCATTAAGTAACCTTTAGCACCAACACTGTGCAAGGCACATAACGCAGCCACCACAATGAATGCAGTAAAACTTTTGTATTTTGCAGATTGCTATAAGGAACTTGGTTCTTGGCAGACAGAAAATATCTTACCTGCATTTCAAAATAAAATGTCTCAAACACACTTCTGCTTTGTGATATTCAATTAAAATGTAAGTGTTCTACTTATATAATCTCTCCCCTCTACCTTTTTGTTCCTGATGCTGCAAAATTTCAGCAAAATTTCAGCAAAATGTTCATATTCACTGAACATTTGCACATTTTCTTAAGCTCTCTGTAACCACACACAACAAAAACAACTTTTCCTAGCTCTTTTATAATTTGTACAAAATAGGTTTCTGAATGACTATGACCATTTAAAATTTAAATTACATTAATCTGGCACATAAAAATTACATTTATGACTTTCTAAGAAAGTTTTGCAATCTAATAATTTAAATAACAAAAAATCTTACTTTAAATAAACAACAATATAGTTAATTATGTGTGAGATCCAGCCATGTCACTTAAAAAAGGAATATACGAAGCTTTTGCACAGCAAAAGAAACCGCCAACAAAACAAAAAGGCAGCCAACCTAATGAGAGAAGATATTTGACAACAATAGCTCCAACAAAGGGGTTAATATCCAAAATATATATAAAGAACTCATACAACTTAACAACAAAAAACCCCTAAAACTCCAATTAAAGAATGGGCAGAGGACCTGAACAGACACTTCTCCCATGAAAACATACAAATGGACAACAAATATATGAAGAGATGTTAAACTTCACTAGCTATTAGGGAAATGCAAACCAAAATCACAATAAGATACCACCTCGTACCTGTTAGGATGGCTATTATCAACAAGACAAGTAATAACAAGTGTTTGAGAGGTTGTGGAGAAAAAAGAACCATCATATGCTGGTGGGAATACAAACTGATACAGCTATCCAGAAAACAGTATGATTCCCCACCAGGATCCTCAAAAAATAAAAAATAGTTACAATATGACCCAGAAATCCTTCTTCTGGTATCTATCTGAAAAATTTGAAAACATTTATTCACAAACACATATGCACGCCTGAGTGTTCACTGAAACATTACTTACAGTGGCTAAGACATGGAACCAACCAAAGTGTCCTTCGATAGAAGGCTGGATAAAGAAGATGTGGTACATATATATATACTATGGAATAATACTTAGCCATAAGAAAAAATGAAATACTGCCATTTGTGAGATGGACAGACCTTGAAGGTATTATGCTAAGTAAGTCAGTCAGTTAGAAAAAGCTAAGAACCATATGGTTTCACTCAGATGTGGGATATATGGTGGTTACCAGAGGGAAGGGGGTGGGGGTGGGAGGTAGTAAAAGGGGCCAAATATATGGTTACAGAAGATGATTTGACTTTGGGTGGTGGGCACATAATACAATATATAGATTATGTATCATACAAATGTACACTTGAAACCTATACAATCTTATTAACCATTGTTATCCCAATAAATTTAATAAAGAAAAAGAAAACAGAAAAGTAGTCTAATATTCTTTGTATTTCATTGATAGCATTACAGATAACAGACAGTAGTCTAAACTACCTTTAGAAAAGTGGTAACAGTTAAAATGACTGAAAGTAGCTGTCTTTTTCTTGTTAACCATAGTTTAGTTCAGATACTAAATTTCTACTAATTTTAAACTTTATTATAATAAAAAACAAAATTTAGTTGCACAAATACTGACCACTATGTTATATTTTAGAGAACTATGTTCAAAGGCAATAGTCCTCCAAAAGGAGGGAAGGTGAAGGGACATATTTTAAATAAAATGGAAAGTTCAAGAGAGAATTACACATTTTAAATGACATTTGACAGATTTCCAAGTCACAAGCACTCAGAATTAGCAGATAGAGTTAAGTGAGGAAAGCAAGTTATTCTGTTCTTTAAAGGAGAAATCGACATAAGCACTGTGAAATGTAAGAATTAGTGCTCTTCTCAGAACATAGACAGGTGAGGCCTTAAACAATAAAACCATTACATGAAATAGAACTTAAGCATTCTCAAACCGCTATTTGTCTGTGTATATCTATAAATTGAAATAAATTAAAAATATATAACTAAAGAAAACTCCCTTTCAGGCTACTATCCTTATTAGGCTTGGCAATTTGTCCCAAGAGAACAAAAAACCTGTAACAAACCTGACCAATGATTTCCTATAATTCCACTTTTCACTGGTTATGGACAATAGCTATATGTATTCCAGGTACTTCTAACGGAACATAACACCTCTTGCTAAAGGGAAGAAATCTAAGTGTAAAGACACATAAATGAAGGACAGAGACTCAAAAATATGCTTATGGCAGGAAGACAATAATCTTTCAGAAGCAGCCAAGTTTCACAAAATGAAAAAATGTTAGAGTTTTGTGTAGAGTTTTGTCTATAAATTCGATCTCAATGAAGGAATTTGGGGAGAAACAGCCCAAATATATTATGTTTCATTTTGTGCTTTATAAATAAAAATTTTTAATGAAACTAAATGAAGAAAATAAAAACATGAAGTGAGGTGAAAACATCTTTTATGATAATGCTTATCACAAAAGTTAAATACACAAAAAACTACATTTCCTATAACTAAATCTTTATTTTGTAAAATAAATTCTAAGCCCTGGCTGGCGTAGCTCAGTGGATTGAGCACGGGCTGCAAACCAAAATATCGCAGGTTCGATTCCCAGCCAGGGCACATACCTGGGTTGCAGGCCACAGCCCCCAGCAACTGCACATTGATGTTTCTCTTTCTCTCTCTTTCTCCCTCCCTTCCCTCTCTAAAAATAAATATAAATAAATAAATCTTTAAAAAAAACAAACAGCCTTTCCGAATTGAATGTACTTAAAAAAAATTCTAAAAGTACTGGCTCCAATAGTCTGCAAAAATTATCTTTATAACATAAACCAGATACCTTAAGAAAACTAAAATGAAAAATCGATTTCAACCATTCTTCTCATCAGGTATTGAATTTAAAGTGATTGTGAAAATACTTATACCCAAAGGAAATTTTTAGTACAACTACCATATTTTGCTGTGTGGAATGCCCACTTTTTGCCTGAATTTTTGAGGGAAAATAAGAATGCTCGTTACACATGGGTATAATGATTACATACCATGGGGCATAATCCCACATATAATGCACACAAAAACTGTAGGTGTGCATTATGCACGGGTGTGCATTTGTTACCTAATGATATCAGGATACTACTGACTGATACAGACTAACTCAACACCATCAAAGCAAGTTTTCTTCACTTACCCTTGCATAGTGGAATTCAACTCCATAGAGTTCCAACGTACGTGCTTTGTTCAGGTAATTAAATTCTGCTTCTGCAGGAGATAAGCCTCTGTAAAGACATCATTAGGTTAAAAACTATATTAATCACACACATGTCCAAATTAGAAAAAGGCTATTTATCCAGAAATTTTTCAGCATCCTAAATAAATATTTTGTGAAATGTTAGGCATGACTACTCCTCTTGGTTACGTATGGTAACATCTAACTTATCTGGAGAGTACATTTACAGTAACACAAATTATTGCTTTGTATAATATTTCCTTATTTTTGAGACTATAAGAATGCATCAAGTTTTAAAGTCTGTAGTTGTTCTTATACCTGTCAGAAAGTCACTCATCCTCATACATAAGTAGCGTTTTTCAAAATTTGGTCTTTATACCATATCTGCATTTAAATCACACAGACTGCTTCTGAAACTAGTGGATTCTGAGAAAACCTCCAAGCAGTGTTTCTCAGAAAACAGTACACAGATATTGGTTCATAATATATACAGAAAATGAGGGTGTCAGAGTCTTTTATAGGACCTTGGTAGAGTAATTTTATGTCTGTTGAATCTAACAATTAAAAAAAGCTGTGTAATTTTTTATATCTTTGTTCATTTCTCCACTTTACTTTTCTATTAATTCATTTTTATATTTCTTAGAAGTGTTGTTCCATGACAGATTAGGAAAAAATTGGTCTTTCACAAAAGATAGTTTCAGGAGTACTGTTTTATAGTCTGATAATAGAATGAATGGGGTCCAAATTACTTACATTTAAGAAACATCCCAGGTGATTCTTATGAACAGAAGCTTTAGAACTATGCAAAGCATTTAAAATTGATTTACTCCTATACAATATACTGTTCTAACAACCTTAGTGATCTGTTATCACACTTCAGTTGAGCAAAAGCAGCAAATTACAAAATCAAAGATATAAATCTTTCATTCACTAATGATACAAAAAAAAAAGAAGTCAACACCCTACTAATGCATGATTACTAATATAGGATTCCTTAAAAAGAAAAGAAGCACATATACTTCAACTTTCCATAAAATTCAGTTAGGTTAAATATCCTACCTTCCCCACCCCATCCCCAGTTAAACTATGCAATTCTATTTTTTCTTTGTTTAAAGGCTTAAGGAATTATTTCTTTAAACCAAACACAAATATATAATCAATATCTTGTCAAATGTATAATCCTTTTCCTTGCAGAAGATACTATCCATTATTAGTAAATTTTTCATAAATTGGGTTTATCTTTAAACCCTTGATCCAGATATTATAAATGACATTTACTTTTAGAACAAAATAGCCCCTTCACAACATCAGGCCAGCATTAAATTCTTTTTTTTTTAATTGTTATAACAGCTTTATTTGTAATAGCCAAAAACTGGAAGTAACCAAAAAGCCTTTCAACAACCAATGGCTGAACCAGCTGTAGCATACCCATACTGTGGAACTACTAAACAATTACACAGAAGGAATTATTGATACAGACAACTTGGATAAATCTCAAAAAGACAGTATGCTAAGTGGAAAAAATATATAATAGTCTCTAAGTGACAAAATTATAGACATGGAAAAGAGATGGCTTGTTATCAGGGTTTAGGGATGGAGGCAAGCAGAGAGGAAGAAAGCAGGTATAACTCACTAACAAAGAGTCCCAGCGGTGGCTACAAAAATCCCCACACGTGATAAAATGACATAGAACAATATACAAACAATGTACCAATATCAATTTATACCATAATTGTGTAAGGTATAAACACTGGGGGAAACTGGGAGAAATGGACATGGGTCTTCTCTGCACTGTCTTTGGAACTTTCTGTGAGTCTATAATCAAATTTAAGTAACATTTTTTGTTGTTTTTTTTCAAATATCTAAATGGTTGATTTATTTTTATTTTAATTTTTTTTGGAGAGGGAGATCATTCACTTTCATTTTATTTTTAATTTTTAAATTTTAGTTCTTTTTTAAAAAATATTTTATTGATTATGCTATTACAGTTGTGCCATTTTCCCACCTTTACTCCCCTCCACCCTGCACACCTTCTCCCACCCACATTCCCCCACTTTAGTTTCTGTCCGTGTGTCATACTTCTAAGTTCTTTAGCTTCTACTTTTCCTACACTATTTCTTACCCTCCCCTTGTCTATTTTCTACCTACCATCTATGCTACTTCTTCTCTGTACTTCTTCCCTCTCTCTCCTCCTCCCACTCCCTCCCCTCTTGATAACCCTCCAAGTGATCTCCATTTTTGTGGTTCTGTTCCTGTTCTAGTTGTTTGCTTAGTTTCTTTTTGTTTTTGTTTTAGGTGTGGTTGTTAATAATTGTGAGGTTGCTGTCATTTTACTGTACATGTTTTTTATCTTCTTTTTCTTAGATAAGTCCCTTTAACATTTCATAGAATAATGGCTTGGTGATGATGAACTTCTTTAACTTGACCTTATCTGAGAAGCACTTTATCTGCCCTTCCATTCTAAATGAAAGCTTTGCTGGATAGAGCAATCTGGGATGTAGGTCCTTGCCTTTCATGACTTGGAATACTTGTTTCCAGCCCCTTCTTGCCTGTAAGGTTTCTTTGGAGAAATCAGCTGACAATCTGATGGAAACTCCCTTGTAGGTAATTACCTCCTTATCTCTTGCTGCTTCTAGGATTCTCTCCTTAATTTTAATCTTGGGTATTGTAACTATGATATGCCTTGGTGTATTCCTCTTTGGGTCCAACTTTTTTGGGACTCTCTGAGCTTCCTGGACTTCCTGGAAGTCTATTTTCTTTGACAGATTGAGGGAATTCTCCTTCATTATTTGCTCAAATAAGTTTTCAATTTCTTGCACTTCCTCTTCTCCTTCTGGTACCCCTATAATTTGGATGTTGGAACATTTAAAGATGTCCTGGAGGTTCCTAAGCCTCTCCTCATTTTTCTGAATTCTTGTTTCTTCATTCTTTTCTGTTGGTTGTTTCTTTCTTTCTTCTGACCCATTCCACTGATTTGAGTCCCAGTTCCTTCCCATCACTATTGGTTCCCTGTGCATTTTCCTTTATTTCATTTAGCATAGCCTTAATTTTTTCATCTAATTTGTGACCAAATTCAACCAATTGTATGAACATCCTGATTCCCAGTGTTTTGAACTGTGCATCTGATAAGTTGGCTATCTTTGTCACCTAGTTGCATTTTTTCTGGAGCTTTGATCTATTCTTTTGTTTGGGCCATTTTTTTTTTTTGTCTTGATGTGCCTGTTACATAGCGAGGGGCAGAGCCTTAGGTGTTCACCAGGGCAGGGTAACCCAATTGTTCGTTTGTGATGCTGTATGTGGGGTAGGGGTCCAAGAGGGAACAACGGTGCCTGCTCTGCTCTCTGCTGGATTTCAGTCACTTCCCCCACTTTCCCCAAGCAAACTGGGCCCTTCTGGTGCTGATTCTGGTGTGGGTAGGCATTCTAGGAACCTGTGGGTCTCTCCAACGAACTCTCCTTGAGTCTGGGAGTTTCTTCCAGTACCTCAACCCCCACAGCTGTTTTCAATCAGTGTTTTGAGGCTTTATTCCCTGAGCTAGGACCCTGGGTTGCACGGTCTGACTCGCTCCCCAGTTTTGCCTGGTTTATCTGCACATGAATGTGGGACTGTCCAGTCTGCCAGCTGCCTTGTGCACCGCACGCCTCCACAATCCACCACCCAGCCGGGTCCACCAGCTGCCACCTTGCACGCCCGGGGTCCACCAGGCACTGCTCTGCCTCAAGCCCTCTCTGTTCCAGCTGCCCAACTCCATCCCTCCTACCGGTCTGGATGAATGTGTCTACTTTAACTCCTTGGTTGTCAGACTTCCATACAGTTCAATTTTCTGTTCGTACTGGTTGTTTTTGTTTCTAAATTGTTGTCCTTATTTTGGATGTACAAAAAGGCACAGTGCATCTACTTATGTCTCCATCTTGGCCAGAAGTCTAAAATTCTCATCCATTATTCTTATTCTAGGTCAGGGGTCAGAAATTCTTACTAGACAGCGCAAGACAGTCAACACTTTATGCTTTCAGGTCACATGGTCTATGTGGCACTACTTCACTCTGCTATTATGTGAAAGCAACCACAGACAAATGAGGGAACCTGTATTCCAGTAAGTGTTCATTTATGAACACAGAAATTGGAATTTCTAAAAACTTCATGTGCCACAAAAATGTTATTCTTTGTTTATTTTTTCCAACCATTTAAACCTTAAAAACCATTCTTATTCCATGAGCCATATAAAAATAGACAACGTCTATAGTTTACTAACCTGTTTTAGATACATGGGCCATTACCAAGTGAAGGCAAGTTTCTTTAATAGTAAGAGCTAATATTTCTTCAGTGCTTACCATATGCTAGGCACAGTTCTGAATACTTTATTTGTAAAAATCCTTACAGTAACTCCAGAGGTCGGTAATTTTTCTTACTACCTATTTACATATAAGAAATCAGAGCAGCAGAAACATAGATAAATCTGGCCAAGGTTATAAGATAGTAAGTGACCTTACCAGAATTTCAATTCAGACAGTCTGGCTCAAGTTCACACTCTTAGAGAATATGCAACTGCCTTAGTTCCTACATGAATATTTTGAATGGTATGTTAAAGCAGAACTGAACTCTGACCCAAAAAAACAATATTTCCTTCTATTCAAAACAACGGATGTCTGTTTGGAAAAAAATATGTAACAGAAAATCAGTCTCACAATACATCAAAGTCGCATACTGTAATGAGAGAAAAACTGCTATTATCTTTAAAGGACTACTTTTTAAATTGTTTACCTCCCACCACTCCTCCCCACTCCAGCCATCCCCACCTCGCCCCCTCGAGCCTGCCCTGCTTTGGCTTTGTCCAAGTGTCCTTTATTACATATGTTCCTGAAAACCCTTCCCGTTTTTCCCCCCATTATCCTCTCCCACCTCCCCTCTGGCTCAGATATTCCATGCAGCAATGTTTTCACTGATATGTCCCTCAGAGCAAGACATGTAAAGAAAAAATAATCAAATGGGACTTCATCAAAATAAAAAGCTTCTGCCAGACTAAAGAAAACATTAGCAAAATGCAAAGGGAACCAACCGTATGAAAAATATATTTGCAAATCATACCTCGGAGAAGGATTAGATCTCCAAAATATATAAAGAATGCACACGACTCCACTCCAGGAAGATGAACATTCCAATTACAAAATGGGCAAACAGACATTAACAGACATTTCTACAAGAATGACATATAGAGGGCCGAGAAACATATGAAAAGATGGTCAGCATCACTAGCCATCAGAGAGATGCAAATTAAAACTACAATGATATACCACTTTATACCAGTCAGAATGGCCAATCATAACCAACAAGCAAATGCTAGAGAGGTTTGTGCAGAAAAGGGAACACTAGTGCACTGTTAGTGGGAATGCAGAATGGTGCAGCCACTGTGGAAAACAGTATGGAATTTCCTCAGAAAACTGAAAATGGAACTGCCTTTTGACCAGGCAATTCCACTGCTGGGATTATACTCTAAGAATCCTGAAACACCAATTCCAAAGAACCTATGCACCCCAATGTTCATAGCAGTACAATTTACAATAGCCAAGTGCTGGAAGCATCCGAAGTACCTATCAGTAAATGAATGGATCAAAAAACTACGGTACATTTACATAATGGAATACTATGCAGCAGAAAGAAAGAAGGAGCTCCTACCCTTTGCAACAACATGGATGAAACTGGAGAGCATTATGCTACATGAAATAAGCCAGGTGGTAAAAGACAAATACTACATAATCTCGCCCGTAAGTAGAACCTAATCAACAATCAAACAAGCAAGCAAAATATAACCAGAGACAATGAAAATAAAGAATTAGTTTTTATCAATTTAGTTTTACATAAAGTTCCTTTCTCCTCTTGGCTCATCACTAAACAAAAATGATTTCTTTCACACAGATAAAACCTGAGAAAAAATTGCTACATAGACTGTAACATGTTAATATTCTAAAATTCCTGGCAACTTTACATAATAACAAAGCTTTACATATATATTCCTGGCAACTTTATATTTAAAAAACCCTTTACAGTGCTCACTTTGGCAGCACATATACTAAAATTAGAACAATAGAAGAGTAGCATGATCCCCAAGCAAGGATGACACACAAATTCTTGAAGCATTTCATATTTTGAAGGTGATTAAAAAAATGAAAAACAGAAAACCCTTTACACACACACGAGGGCATACACACACACTTTACACAGATTAAAAAAGTTTAAGGGGCAAGTCAAGGAACACAAATACAGGACTCATGGCCATGGACAATGGGTGGGGGAAGATTGACTGTGGAGTGTGGGGTGGAGGGATGGGGCAGGGAAGAGCAACAGGGGAAAAAGGTGGGACAACTGTAACTGAGTAACAAAAAAACCCAAAAACTTTATACAATGAAATTGGCAACTAGATATAATAGTGAAAAAATGTCTGTTATATATAGCTTTCTAGTTCTTCATAGAAATGAAAACATATCTTTTATATAGATTATCTACATTTCTTTATACCAATCATATCATATTATTTTATAACACCAACTGTTCTACATTAAATAAATACAACAATCACAACAGAAATAATTTAAAACATTTCTCTAGAAAAGATGCAATTTAGTTTACCAAATAAGCAGAAAAGTAAATAAACCCTTACGTATGTTGCTGATGTAATTTTGCAATTTCGTTTTCAAAATCTTGAGGTTGATTAGGAATGAAAGAATAATCTGAGAGGTAGCCTGGCAAATTTTCTGACTGACTGAAGTCTCCAAGTTCAGCTAATAAATTAAAGAAAAATATTCACTTTAATACACATTTTTAAAATTTCTACAGCCAAATCAGCAATGTCATGAATTTCATTATATTTCTGGAAGTAAATATTTATGTTTCTATTGTTACCACTTAAACAAGTTATAACAATGCACATAACATTCTTCTAGATCTCAAACAACTTTAGAATTTTTCTTCTGGAATCAAATTGCTAACTAATTGGATGTTTCATTACATTTCCTTGGCAACAACTTTCTTCTGTATAATAACTTATTTCTAAAGGACTTATTTATTAAAGGCAATATATTATCAACATAGATAATGCAATTACACATGTTATTTGCCTCAAAACTTGGCTGATACTGTCCTGACCAGTATGGCTCAGTTGGTTGGGCATCATTCCACAAAGCTAAAGTTTGCTGGTTTGATTCCTGAGGTCAGGGCACATGCTTAGGTTGTGGGTTTGGTACCCTGTTGGGACGCGTATGAGAGGCAACTGATTGATGTTTCCCTCTCACATCCATGTTTCTCTCCCTCTTTCTCCACCCCTCCCCCGTTCTCTAAAATTAAACAAGATCTTAAAAAAAGACGTGGGCTGATACTTACACTGAACAGCAAATGAAGCCAAAAGGGCAGCAGTATTATAAGGACAGGGCAATCTAACAAAACAAAACAGAAATACATACCCCAAATTTAAACACAATAATTTCAAAAGCACTATAATTTATATTATACTATTCATACTTCAAATTTCCATGACTTATATTTTAACTATTAAGTTATAAATTTATTTGATGAAAAGAATTCATGTTTTATGTAACCATTTTTCTATAGATTTTTTCAAAGATCATGAATTACTTAAATAACACAGAATTAAAAGTATTTTTAAACCCCATTACTAAGAATTTAAAATAGCCCACCTTCCAGTAAGTATATCTTGTTTAATTTGCAAAAAATACTGGTACCTTAAAAAAGAAAAGATAGTTAGCATTTACTATAATTATAACATCTAGAGACTAAAAACTGTGTACTTAAATGAACAAAACTGAAATATTTAAGTATTTGCTCCTATAATATACATATTAAAACATGAAAAGATTTTAAAATAAGCTTTCATAAATTTATGAATCCAAGTTTTAAATTTTGTTGATAAATGAAATTTCATATTGCAAATATCCTGTTTCCACTAGATGCATTATAAAATTCCTCAAGTTTCTTAAGAGTTACACAATTGAGGGAGAAGATTAGAGAGAAATACGTTAAGAATTGGTGTATGCAGAAAGTAATAAGCCTGGGAAGCACAGTGAAGAGACACAGCAGACCAGTTGAAGAAAACCATTATTTCTGCTAATATAGAAGGTGAACTGCAAGGACAGGACTATGTGTTGATTATCTTATTAGACTGCAAGAAACTACTAATTGTAGAAAAGAACCTTTCCATTTTCATTTGAGTTAAAGTTCTTGTTCATCAGCAAAAAACAAACATGTAAGTTCCCTTCCTTACTATTACTCTACTATTATTAGAATTATCAAGTACCCAATTTCCTTCAAAATCAACAAATATAAGAGTAATCTATAACAAGAATCCTGAGGTTACTTACAAGATGGCATTTTCCTGTCCCTGGCTAGTGGGTGAAGTCATTCCCTCATAAATGTATCCAACCTAGAGTAAAATCAACTGCGCTGCATGTTTACAGAACACCAAAATTTGTGGCTTTACATGTTTAAATAGGGAATTTACAGACTTTTATTTCCACCGACTAAAGAAAGTATACGTAGTTCAAGAGACAAAAATCATTAAATATTTTATTTTTTAATCTTTTAAATATATTTTGATTATGCTGTTAGTTGTCCCATTTTCCCCCCTTCACTCCCCTTCATCCTCCACACCATCTCCCACCCACATTCCCCTCCTTTAGTTCATGTCCATGTGTCATACTTCTAAGTTGTTTGGCTTCTACTTTTCCTACACTATTCTTACCCTCCCCCCGCCGTCTATTTTCTACCTACCATCTATGCTACTTATTCTCTATACCTTTTCTCCCTGTCTCCTTCTCCCACTCCCCTGTTGATAACTCTCCATGCGATCTTCATTTCTGTGGTTCTGTTCCTGTTCTAGTTGTTTGCTTAGTTTCTTTTTGTTTTGGTTTTAGGTGTGGTTGTTAATAATTGTGAGGTTGCTGTCATTTTACTGTACATGTTTTTTATCTTCTTTTTCTTAGATAAATCCCTTTAACATTTCATATAGTAATGGTTTCGTGGTGATGACCTCCTTTAACTTGACCTTATCTAAGAAGCACTTTTTATCTTCCTTCCATTCTAAATGAAAGCTTTGCTAGACAGGGCAATCTTGGATGTAGGTCCTTGCCTTTCATGACTTGGAATACTTGTTTCCAGCCCCTTCTTGCCTGTAAGATTTCTTTGGAGAAATCAGCTGACAATCTGATGGAAACTCCCTTGTAGGTAATTATCTCCTTATCTCTTGCTGCTTCTAGGATTCTCTCCTTAATTTTAATCTTGAGTATTGTAACTATGATATGCCTTAGTGTATTCCTCTTTGGGTCCAACTTTTTTGGGACTCTGAGCTTCCTGGACTTCCTGGAAGTCTATTTTCTTTGACAGATTGGGGGAATTCTCCTTCATTATTTGCTCAAATAAGTTTTCAATTTCTTGCACTTCCTCTTCCTCCTTCTGGTACCCCTATAATTTGGATGTTGGAACATTTGAAGATATCCTGGAGGTTCCTAAGCCTCTCCTCATTTTTTTGAATTCTTGTTTCTTCATTCTTTTCTGATTGGATGTTTCTTTCTTTCTTTCTTCTGACCCATTCCACTGATTTGAGTCCCAGTTTCCTTCCCATCACTATTGGTTCCCTGTGCATTTTCCTTTATTTCACTTAGCATAGCCTTCATTTTTCATCTAATTTGTGACCAAATTCAACCAATCTGTGAGCATCCTGATTCCCAGTGTTTTGAACTGTGTATCTGATAGGCTGGCCATCTCTTTGTCACCTAGTTGTATTTTTTCTGGAGCTTTCATGTTTTTTTTTTGTTTGGGCCATTTTTTTTTTGTCTTGATCCGCTTGTTACATAGCAAGGGGTGGAGCCTTAGGTGTTCACCAGGGCAGGGTAACCCAGTTGTTGGTTTGTGATGTTGTACGTGGGAAAGGTGTCCGAGAGGGAACCCATGGTGCTTGCTCTGCTCTCTGTCAGACTTCAGTCACTTCCCCTGCCTCCCCCAAGCAAATTGGGCCCTTCTGGTGCTGATTCTGGTGTAGGTGGGCTTGTGTACATTCTAGGACCCTGTGGGTCACTCCAACTACTTTCCTGTGAGGCTGGGACTTTCTGCTGCTGCTGCCTCAACCCCCAAAGCTGTTTTCAATCAGTGGTTTGAGGCTTTATTTCCCCGAGCAGGGGCCCTGGGTTGTGCAGTCCATCCCACTCCCCCTTTGTTTCACCTGGTTTATCTGCATGAATGTGGGACTGCCCAGTCTGCCAGCTACTGCCTTGCCGGTCAAGGCAGCTACAGCTTTGTTCGTCCTGTTCCATGATCCTCTGCCTCACTGGGTCCACCAGCCACCACCTTGCTGGGAGTCCTCTCTGCTCCAGATGCCACACTTCGCCCCTGCTACCGGTCTCTGGATGAATGTTGTCTCCTTTAACTCCTTGGTTGTTGTACTTCCATACAGTTTGATTTTGTCTCAGTTCTGGTTGTTTCTTGTTGTTAAATTGTTGTTGTCCTTTTGGTTGTGTGAGGAGGCACAGTGTGTCTACCTACACGTCCATGTTGGCTGGAAGTCCTTAGTTGTTTTTTTGATTAAAGTCATTTAAGAGCTCCATGACAATTCAAATGACCAAAGAATATAATTAAGGTTTTTTGGGAATCAGATATTGATTAGAATTTTTTTTTAAAAGCTGATACCAATATCCTGGCTTCATATATTTAATAGAGTCCCTGAGGCTTAATACATATTATACAAATTATTATTATTCAATCTTGACAACATTTTCTATCTAGCCTACTTAGTTTTATAATTATAAACAAAACTTTTCTAATCCTGACAATAACTAATACCATAAACTAAACACTGAAAAGATATGAAAATAATGTCCTTTTTATTCTCATAATTTCTGAGAAAACTCAAATTCCAATGATGCAAGCAATACTAAATGACATTTACTTCTTTTTTAAAAGATTAAAAAATTATACTTGGGAGGGTCAGACGGGAAGGGAGGAAGAAAGAGGAAACACTGATGTGCAAGAGAAACAGTGATCAGTTGCCCTCACATGCCCCCAGATGGGGACCTGGCCTGAAACCCAGGCATGTGGCCTTAGTGGGAATCTCACTGGCACAGGCCAGTGCTCAATCTACTGAGCCACAGCATCCAGGACACTAAATGACATTTAATCTGGAATCTCTATAGGTTCATTCTTTTTCACCACTCACCTAAAATGGAACTTCAAGGTAAGGAGGTGTAGCAGATTTCCTGTTTATGGGGTTTATATTGGTCCTTGCCTTAAGCACTGTGGCTAAGGGTGTCTTATTATTAATCAGGACCATCACATTAAAGTCATCTAAGCACTAACTTTTTAAAGGAGTAATTCTTAAACCTGGAATCACTGGGGTGCTTGTAATGCTTATGCACAGGTCCCATCTGAGGCTTATTAAATCAGAGTATCTAGGGGTGTGGCCAAGGCAAGAACTACCATTAAGTATTCTGATTTGTAATCAGTAGAGAATCACTGATGTACAATATATACTATGGTAATAAAGTTAAACTAGCCACTTATCTCACTTTACCAAATAGTTTCAATGACAAGATTATAAATCCATTATAAAGGATTTTTGAATAATCCATTATTCTGATGGAAACAAGAATAATTTTCTAGACTGATGGAATGAGTATAAATTAATTCCTCAGTTACTATCAAACTTGATTTTACTTTCTTCTACTTTCAGAAGACATTTCTACTTAAGTATCAGTGAGACACATTTATTCCTTGATTATGTTTTCAACATATGGTAAAAAAAATCAACACATTCAAGTTCCATTAAGAAATTCAAAGACAAGTTTTTTAGTGAAGTAAATTATGAATATGTCTACAATTGGCAATATTTTAACTGCTTCTGCTAACAAAATTTTCATAAGTATTCAATACATTAGAAATCCAATTTAAATTTATTGATCCCTTAATTACAAACATATATTATACATCTAAAATTTGATTACTAAAACATTATAGAATACTTTGCTACTTGATTTAAAGTTATATGTACCAGGAAATAATAAAACGCATTAAAAATGTTTTATACTTCCGGCAAGATGGAGGAATAGGTGGAAGCACCGTACCTCCTTGCACTAACAAGATTAGAACAACAATAATTTACAAACAGAATATCACTCAGAACTGATAGAGGATTTATCTGAATGGAGGACAGCCAAGAAGTTGAAGTAGACCCGTACATCCAGACTGGTAGGAGACGACGAGCTGGGCGGGTGTGGGGCTGGCGCGGGTGGGCGGCGCGCGGAGATCAGGGAAAATTTGGCGCGAAATTGGCTGACAGCCATCCGGGGCGCAGAACGCAGCGGTGATCCCTGAGTACACAAGCTGCGGCTGGCGGACCCAGTGAGGCAGCGATTGTGGAGCAGGGCAGAGCTCGCAGCCCAGGAACCCAAAGAAGGGTCTGAGCCCAGGAGAACAGAACTACCGCCATTGTTCCCTCCCGCTCCCACCCCCGCCCCCACATATAACGTCACAATCTAGCGACAGGGGTGCCCAGCCCAGGTGAACACCTAAGGCTCCCCCCCGCCACCGTAACAAGAGCGACCAGACTGAAAAAAAAAAGGAGAGACAGGAAAAGACTTAAGACATGTTTCCAACAGAACAGATCAGTCCCCCAGGACTCATCCTTTTGCGCGACTAAGAAATAGCCAATCTATCAGATGCACAGTTCAAAACACTGGTGATCAGAAAGCTCACGGAATTGGTTGATTTTGGGTGCAATTTAGATGAAAGGATGCAGGTTACCATAAAAGAGATGCAGGAAGATAGGCGGAGGAGAGCCAATAGTGAAAGGAAGGAATCTGAGTCTCAAAACAATACAGTGCACCAGAAGGAAGATAGAATCAACCAAGCAGGAAAGCATGATGAAATAAGAATTCAAAAAATCGAGGAAAAGCTTAAGAGCATCCAGGACACCTTTAAACGTTCCAACATTCGAATTATAGGAGTACCAGAATCGGAAGGAGAAAAGCAACAGATTGAGCACGTATTTGAACAAATAATAAAGGAGAACTTCCCCAATCTGGCAAAGGGAACAGTCTTCCAAGAAATCCAAGAAGCTCAGAGAGCCCCAAAGAAGTTGGACCCAAGAAGAAACACACTAAGGCACATCATAATTACATTAGCCAAGGTAAAAACGAAGGAGAGAATCCTAGAGGCAGCAAGAGATAAGGGGACAGTAACCTACAAAGGAGTTCCCATCAGACTGTCAGCTGATTTCTCCAAAGAGACCTTACAGGCAAGAAGGGGCTGGAAAGAAATATTCCAAGTCATGAAAGACAAGGAACTACATCCCAGATTGCTCTATCCAGCAAAGCTCTCATTTAGAATGGAAGGGAAGATAAAGTGCTTTTCAGATAAGGTCCAGTTAAAGGAGTTCATCATCACCAAGCCCTTATTTTATGAAACGCTAAAGGGACTTATCTAAGAAAAGAAGATAAAGAAAAGACATGTATAGTAAAAGGACAGCAAACTCACAATTATTAACAACCACACCTAAAGCAAAACCAAAAGAAACTAAGCAAACAACTAGAACAGGAACAGAACCACAGAAATGGAGGGCACATGGAGGGCTAGCAGCAGGGGCGTGGGAGGAGGAGAGAGGGGGAAAAGGTATAGAGAATAAGTAGCATAGAATGTAGATTGAAAATTAGATAGGGGGAGGGCAAGAATAGTACGGGAAATGTAGAAGCTAAAGAACTCATAAGTATGACACATGGACATGAACTAAAGTGGGGGAACATGGGTGGGAGAGGGGGTACAGAGTGGAGGGGAGAGAATGGGGGAAATGGGACAACTGTGATAGCATAATCAATAAAATACATTAAAAAAAGAAAAAAATGTTTTATAATTCACAATCTTCATTAATTCAGACTAGTTTCCTTGACGTTCATCCAAAATTAGTTGTTTTTTTTTAAATCCTTACCCAAGGACATTTTTTCATTGCTTTGAGAGAGAGAGAGAGAGAAAGGGAACAAAGAGAAAGAATAATTGGTTGCCTCCTGTATGTGTCCAGACCTGGAAATAGAACCCAAAGCCCAGGTAACGTGCCCTGACTGGGAATTGAACGCTGTTGGGGTAGCTCAAGACATATGGCCCCTCCGTGACCTCAGAGAACAGGTAGCTGCCTGGTCAACAGCCATGAAGGAGGGAGGAAAACAGTCTGTATCTGGAGTCCCAACCTTCTCAAAGCCTCTGTGTTTATCATAACCCTGTAGCATTTTTACACACTACTACAGCTCTTTCCCCCCTGTCACTACTTCCTCCCTAAACCAAGTAGCACCAAGGCTGGAGGTTGGGTGTGGTCTTTCTCGTCTGACACACCACCATCAGTGCACTTCCCTGTAACATGAGTAATAAATGGCATGTCCACAGCATTTCTGTATTTGCTAGTTCTCTGGGTGGTTTTTCAGAATATCACGAATGTAAGTACAACTAACTCCCCAGTCTGCATTCCTGCATTACAAACCTGCAATATTTTGGTAATGGGTACAATGCTCCAACCAACTGAGCCACAGTGGCCAGGGCCAAAATTAGGTTTTACTATACTAAAAATCTTGTTTTTAAATTAACAACAACAAAACCTGACTAAGAGCTACAGTATTAAACTAAAAGGCATTCATATAACACAATTTTGCTCTTCAAGATAAATTAACTTGGATATTATTAGTTTCAAACATTAGGACTACCTAATCCAGGAACCATGTACTCAAAGGACCACCCCTGCCCCCACACACACCCCCCAACACAAAAACAGAAAAGGACTCTAAAGGATGTCAATCTAATTTTTCTTACTTGGTCTACTGAAAACCCTACTGCACAGATACCTGGGGGATTGGCAGGTACAGGGAAGTATCTTTAATTTATTCTTCTGTTTTTCTACTTCACCACAGTGTTCTAAAGGATAACCAATAAATTAACATCTAAAAGCCTATCTAGAGGTAGCTTTAGGTACAGATTTTAAATTTGGCTATCTTTTAGAATAATTCTCAATGTAGTCATTGACCTATATTCTTATATCTGATACTTTTACAGAAGGTATAATATGCTAATATCCATTGTCTTTTATTTTGTTAATGAATTCCTAATTATGTCTTTCAAGCAACACATTATTACTATTCAGGTTATTTTAATACCAACAGTTACCACACGGATTATTTCCACTACTTCCACTAGAAGTTCACCTTAAACAGTTCACCTGACTTTCACACACTATCAAAATGCTCATCTTGGCCATTCTTGTATTTTCAGTCTACACTTGGGAATCAGCTAATGCAGAGGGCCAACCTGTTATACGCAGATTTCTACTGCAAAGGTGGTCAATGTCCCTAACCTCCATATTTTTCAAGAGTCAACCATATATAGATTATGGTTTTTCATGGGGAAAAAAGGCAGGCACAGTTCTCACTCTGTAGCACTACTTAAACTGCCACATCATCTGATTACTTCAATTAGTTACAGCAAGGCTGCTTAATCATTTTTCACATGTAGAAAATTTTAGTATTTATGTAGCCCAGGAGGCTGCTTGTGGCTGGATGGGGTAGCCCTGGGGTCCCAATCTCCTAAAGCAGTCCCAGATGGAAGCACATCCAAGACAGAAGGAAACTGTTTTCTTTGAACATCTATAACCTATAACCTATCAGTGTACTGCTGATAAACTCAGAATTATGGCATGGCAATCTACTTTTGCCTAATTAATTACAAAATTTCACAATAATTTTGACAATATTTTCAAGAAAAATATACTCTATAAACTTACCTTGTATATTCTTCTTGTAACTTGTTGGGGTCACTTACAAAAAACTTGACTCTAAAGTTCAAATTGTAAGGAGATCCTCCTAGAATTAATAAAAGCAGTTCTAATTAATCAGATTATATTAACCCTTTATCTTTATAAAGTATATTTGCAAAACATCAAGTAAATATGTATGCTCACTCTTTAGTTGCTTCCTTATTGGTTTGTTTGGATCCAGCCACCTCTGAAAAATAAAAAAATGAGGCTGATTTCATTTTTTCTTGGAGAACTAATATACAGATTCATGCAAATCTGTTCCAGTTGAAGACTAATGATAAAAACTGCCTTTTTTAAAAGGCCTAGGTAGGAAAAAATCATTAGCTTATAGGTTTTGATATCAAATATAACACAATTATGTTAGAAAGTACTGAATGTACTTGTGGTGGCTTTAAGATTTTTATTGTAATTTCACATCAAATTATATAGTGTGCAATAACCTCTATTCCAAAAGTAAAAATGCTTAATAATTACTGTAATCTAATGTGATTTCCATTAATTTAACTATATTATGTAACAGTCTGGCAAATTAAAATCCTCTTATCTCATAAAACTATGCTTGGCCTTACGCTTTCATTCAAACAAAATGTGTACATCAGGAAAATCTACTCTTAAGAGAAATGTTTTAGTCTTGGCCAGGTAGCCCAGTTGATCAGAGCATCATCCCGTACACGAAAGTTATGGATTTGATTCCTGGTCAGGGCACATCCCTGGGTTACAGGCCCAGTCACCCCACTGGGGTGAGTATGAGAGGCAACGAGTCAATATTTCTCTACCTCTCTTTCTCCTTCCCTTTCCCTCTATCTAAAAATAAATAAGATCTTGAAAAAAAAATCAACCAATAAATGCGTAAGTACAACAAATTGATGTTTCTCTCTTCCCCCTTCACCCTCGCTCTCTAAAAAATAAATAAATTTAAAAAACAATTTTTAACTTCTACCCTATTTCTTAAAAAGTAAATAAACTATTCCCCCAAAAGAAAATCGCACTAGTTTTTTAAGAGACAATGTTTAGTTTTGAGCAGGACTGCTTTTTGTATGTGAGAATTTTAAGTAGCCTCAACACTTCTGAATGCCAGTTAGGCTCTATTTTAGAAAAAAAGTTAACTGAATTCAGAAAATATTTCAATTACTAACATGTTTGAATTTAAAAAATTAAGGAACTCAAAATGAGGTTATAGATGTGACAAATTATAGATTTTCAAAGCACTACACAAATATAAGCTTATATATCATTATTTATAATCCTTACACCCCATACTTGATTCCATGAAGAACACATAAACAGATTTTATGTTGGGAGTAATCCATGTATCTTTCCTTTTCACTACTCCTAACATCCAATATTTCAAATCCATTTGATTCTACCTTCAAACTATACCTAGAATTTAATGATTCTTCTCCACTTAGTCTGCCACCATCCTTATTTCTGGTTTGGCTCTGGCCACAGCCTCTTAATTACTTTCCTTACCACCTTCTACCTCCTCTATCTACAAGCTGGAGTATTCTTTTAAAACATAACTTCACTCCTTTGTTTAGTATCTCCTGATAATTTATCAGCGCAAGGTCTAAAGTCCTTAACATGATCTCTTCTTACCTCTTCTACCCCAATTTATTGAGTTCTAGCCATAAATGCCTCCTTTCTGTTATTCAATGATGCCATCTTAGGGCCTTCAATTCCACATTTCCGTAATACATAGAATGTCCTTCTCCAGCGGCACCATGGCTGACTCCTTTTATTACCTGTATCTCGGCTTAAATGTTACCTCCTCAGAGAGGTCTTCACTAACTACACTATCAAAAGTATGTCACAAAGCTCCTATTTACTTAGTTATTTTCCAGGCATAGGACATTAAATTCTCTCATCTAACACTTTTTCTTCATTATAATATGTTTTTTTTCCTTTTTATCACCCATTTCTTTCATTTAGACTATGGATTCTATGAGGTAAGGGATAAAATCTAATTCATTCAAAGCTGAACAGCCAGCACCTAGCACAGGACGTGACATATAATATCTATTAAAAATATTTTGTGAAGAACTGATTACACCTGCTGAATAACTCAACAGTCAAGGGGGGATGGGGTGTTTCTGTGGCAAAAATAGGCCCATTATCACTCCTATTTAATAAACTTGTTTCCCCTACACAACCACACATTTATCCACCTTCCTACCCATCTATTTATTAATCTGGTGACTTCGTATTTCACATTTTAGACTAAGAGTCATAAATTACTTTTATTTTAATGCTTGTCCAAAATAAAAATTTGGGATTGGTCAATCTATCCAAAGCCTTCTTTCCTCACTGAGTTCCCCTTAAAAATATTCTAATATCAGAGATACAAATACATCGACATATACAAATAGATGTGTTAATCTGACATAGTTGAGGATAAATACAACGATAAGCACTGGAAAATTTAAGAGACCTCATCAATGATGTCATTGAGACAGGACTTAGGATCTTTCTAGGCTTAAAACAAGAAAATGGAACAATACTATAATGAGCACTACTAGTGAGTCAAGATCCTGTTCACAGTAAGAACACATCATTATGTCAAAAGAAAAACAAAGTAGGGAAAAGGAAAACATATAAAGCAGGTCTACAAATCAGTAAGAGAAGATCAACTTTAATAGAAAAACATACGATAAGATAAAAATAGAAAATAGAAAGTTTATAAGAACTATAAATAGCATTCTAGTATATGAAAAGATATTCAATCTTAATCATAATTAGAGAAATAGTCTTCATTAGGTTATCATCATTCAACAATAACACTGACAAAGATTAAAACTTTTACTTTTTATTATTTTTAATACATTTTATTGATTATGCTATTACAGTTGTCCTATTCCCCCTGCTTATTCCACTCTGCCCTGAACCTTCACTCCCACCACTCCCCTCCTTTAGTTCATGCCCATGGGTCGTACGTATAAATTCTTTGGCTTCTCTATTTGCAGTAATTTTCTTTACTTCCACCTGTCTACTTTATAGACCCTTTATGCTTCTTATTCCCCGTACCTTTTACCCCAATCGCCTCCCTCCCCCTTCCTACTGCTAACCCTCCATGTGATCTCCATTTCTATGACTCTGTTCCTGTTCTAGTTGTTAGCTTTGTTTTGTTTTTGTTTTCTTAGGTTCGGTTGTTGATAGTTTTAAGTCTGTTGTCATTTTACTGTTCATATTTTTTATCTTCTTTTTCTTCGGTAAGCCGCTTTGTCATTTCATATAAGGGTTTGGTGAATATGAACTCCTTTAACTTGATCTTATCTGGGAAGCACTTTACCTGATGATAGCTTCGCTGATGCTGGATAGAGCCATCTTGGATGTAGGTCCTTGCCTTTCATGACTTGGAAAATTTCTTTCTAGTTTATTCTTGCCTGCAAGGTTTCTTCTGAGAAATCAACTGACAGTCTTATGGGAACTCCTTTGTAGGTAACTGTCTCCTTTTCTCTTGCTGCTTTTAAGATTCTCTCCTGATCTTTAATCTTGGGTAAAGTAATTACGATGTGCCTCAGTGTGTGCTTCCTGGGTCCAACTTCTTTGGGACTCTCTGAGCTTCCTGGACTTCCCGGAAGTCTATTTCCTTTGCCAGATTGGGGAAGTTCTCTTTCATCATGTTTTCAAATAAGTTTTCAATTTCTTGCTCTTCCTCTTCTCCTTCTGGCATCCCTGTAATTCAGATATTGGAAGGTTCAAAGTTGTCACTGAGGTTCCTAAGCCTCTCCTCATTTTTTTGAATTCTTGTTTCTTCATTCTGTTCTGGTTGAATGTTTATTTCTTCCTTCTGCTCCAAACTGTTGAGTCCTGGTTTCCTTCCCTTCACTGTTGGTTCCCTGTGAACATTTTCCTTCATTTCACTTTTCATAGCCTTCACTTTTTCCTCTAATTTGTGACCATATTCAACCAGTTCTCTGAGCATCCTGATTATCAGTTTTGAACTGTGCATCAGATAGTTTGGCTATCTCTTTATGGCTCAGCTGTATTTCCCCCCCCCCCAAAATTGGGCCACTTTTTTTTTTTGTCTTGGCAGGCCTGTTATGTAATAAGTTGTAGAGTCTTAGGTATTTGCCAGGGTGAGGCAACCCATGTCACTGCGTTGTGATGATGTATGTGGGGGAGGGCTCCAAGAGGGAACAGTGCAGTTTCCTCAGCTCTTACTGGCTTTCAGTCACTTCCTCCACTACCCACAAGCAAATTGGGCCCTTCTGGTGCGGGTTCCTGGGTATGTGGGTTTGTGTATGTTCTAGGACCCTCTGGGACTCTCCAACGAACTCTCCTGGGAGGCTGGGACTTTCTCCTGTTGCTGCAACATCCACAGGTATTTCAGTCAGAGGTTTTGAGGCTTTATTTTCCTATGCTGGAACCCTGGGTTGCACAGTCTGTCTTGCTCCCCAGTTGTTCCTCCAGGTTTATCTTCATGCCAATGCGGGACTTCCTGCTCTGCCAGCTGCTGCCTCGCCCGCCCTGGTCTTCCAGCTGCCGCCTTGCTGTGGGTCTTCTCTGCTTAGCTGCCCATCTATGCCCCTCCTACAGGTCTGGATAAATGTTTCTTCTTTAACTCCTTGGTCGTCAGGCTTCCATACAATTAGATTTTCTGGCAGTTTTGGTTGTATTTTGTTTTTAAATTTGTTGTCCTTCTTGTGGTTGTGCAAGAAAGCATAGTGTATATACCTATGCCTCCATCTTAAGATTAAAACTTTTAATGACATACCACAATGGCAAGAATGTGAAGAAATCAGCACTCATATATAACTTGTGAGAATATAAGTTATAGCACCTCAATGTAGGACAACCTGGTAGTATTTATCAAAATACAAAATGCGCATCATCATGGACTCAACATTATTTTTATGTATCATTTTAACTGATATATCTCACACGATATAAAAATTCACCATTTTAGAGTATAAACTTCAGTGTACTTTAGTATATTCACTATGTTGTACAACCATCAACACCAAATAATGTCAGAATATTTGCATCACACCCCACCCCAAATCCTATTTCTTTCTATTAGCAGTCAGTTCTAATATTGCACTACCCACAGGATATAGCCATTACTAATCTACTTACTCTCTGTATAGATTTGTTCTGGACATTCATATGAATACAATCATACAACAGGTAATCTGCCTATCTTCTTTACTTAATACAGTAGCCTTCCCCCACCCATCCACAGATATA